GAAAGGGAGATGATTCTAGCAGATAATACTTTCCTACGTAAGCACAGACGACTCGTGAACTGAGTTCCCGTACGTTTATCACGTCAAACATGGCTAACGTGATTCCACACCCAACCTTTTTTTGTTATGCTGGTTGGCAGAAATTTTTTTCACTTCAGCTTTTTTATTGGTTTTGTGCTGTATTGAATATGTAGTGTCTGTGTTGCAGAATAAGAATTTAATGGGACAAGTGTTGCGTGAGGCATCATTTTCGCTAGCAGCGGCAAAATTTACGGCCGGCGATTTCTCGCATACCGTTATTCAGAATGTCTCACGTGCGCAGCATCGTGTTCGTATGAAGAAGGAAAATGTCGTCGGTGCGTAAGTTTGTGTAAAGTGCCAGCCAGATCACTTTCTCAATGGCTGCACATAGAATTCGAGAAATAACAACATTCGAATTTTTCAAAATATCAAGGAATTTTGCTTATACTATCGTATTTTCCGTCCCTTTCTCTCTTTTTGACGAAGTACCACTGGTTCATGGAGTTGTACTGTGCTGTACAAAAATGCGGTAAATATATCCGGCCCTCTCCGTAGTTGCCTCTTCTTGTAGAAAAGCTATGGCATTTCGATATCAGCACGGGTTTTTTACGAATATTATTTATGGTTGATGGAACATCCCATAAACCAGAAGTGCGATAGAAAGAAGTTTTCGATTTCTAAGCGCCTACCAGTCGTAATCCAGCTGGCATGGCACTCTCTCTCTCTCTCGTTTTATGAAGAATTTTAGAAAAAGACATTGGGAATAAGTGGTTGCAAGTGTACATACTTTTATTAGATCCACGGCTTCTTCCTTGACCCCTAATGCTATGCGACCTGTAGGTATATAATGTGGAATAGCAATTTTTCAACTTATCATTCTCGGTATCCACCGTGGTGTTACTAGGATATTTCCCGCAGATCGAGTGAAACTATGCAAGGCCCTTCGATTCTAGGCCCACTTCTTGTTCTGCATATGTATGCCACCTCTTCGGTAATCGCCCGAATGGTCGTTTACTTTCTCGTGGGCACCACTCGCTAATGGGCACTGTTCATTGTTCGGCGGCAAGGCAATCATCATCAAGTCCTGCCCATCGGATTTTACTTTCTCACGTGAATGCAGTGTTGTCGTGAGTACCGCTGTCTGGCGGAGAATCTGATTGTTTTGGAGAGATGAATAAGTATACGTATGTATTTTTTTTTAAATTTCAAAGAAATTGTGGTGTAGAAGGAAGCTGTAAAAGGCCGTTTTATGTATATGTGTGCGTGTTTTTTGATGGCAGAGGAATTGAGATGGGAAAAATTGTAGATCGTATCACAGCAGTGTTCAGAAATCATAAACAAGACCTATGCTCAAAATAAATTCGGTATTACTTGGTGACCTTGCTGTAGCTACATTGTAGCGCAGCTCTTGGTTTTCGATATGGCTAATGTGACAAAATTTCTACATGAGCCTCTCTGTCTTCCATTTCTTTGCTTCTTTCCTTGTTCTGAAAAATGCCACATTATTCCGGCTCTTCATACTAAAAAAGCCCTATTAAAAAAAAAAGCATGTTATGGACATACAGTATTACTTTTTTTAACGCTTAAGTCCATCCAAGTTTTTTAGAAGATCAAAGATTCTGATGAGTGATAAATAAAAATTCATTATTGCGATAGCACCGTTTAACGATTCCCATTTTCAGGTGTTCTTCTGCCAGTGTTCACGACAACCATTGACGGGCCGGATGCTTACGATTTGACCGGTCTGGGAAAGGGTGGCGCAAATATTGCCAAGCTGAAGAAGAATTACAGTCATGCTGTGGAGCTGCTTGTCGAGTTGGCAACCTTGCAGACATGTTTTATCACGCTGGATGAGGCCATCAAAATCACCAATCGCCGTGTGAATGCCATTGAACATGGTTCGCCCCTTTAAAAAATACTGCTGTAGGGCAGGGAAGGGTGTGAGAGTTAACGTGATTCGCAAGGCGTATTTTTATTTTGGTTGTTAGTATTGAAAAGGGGAGCTGGATTAGTGAAACAGCAATGAAGAAATTTGCATTTTTCAAAAATTTGCATTTGCGTTTTTTCAAACAGCTAGCATTTATTGAAAAAACTACCAAGCTTCATGCAAAAAACTGGTAATCGTGCACATTCGCTATTGGAAAGAGATCATTGTTCCATGGCTTGTCGATTCGTTCTTGTTGAACTTTGTCCAGTATGCCGGGGAAACAAGCTACTTTGAGTGTGCCTACCGTGCAGTTTTCGCAAAAAACATATTCCGCGACGAATGCTAGGACTTTCCTGTGTCATGGTTTTTCACTTAAAATATAATGCGAAACATTGAAAATTTTGAAGATTGTCCGGTACAGGACTGTCTTTTACGAGCTGTCGGCAACACTGGTTTTCGGTCTTCCAGGTTGCAATATTCACACGTTTTGCCGTATTTTATGACTGAGTTGGCTGATCAGTAATATTCACCTTTAATTTCTTGGTTCCAGCAATGCACTAGTGTTTTTGATTCACAGTGCAGCGAGTAATATTCTCGTTTTCGACTCTTTCAAGCTTGCTGCGATCACGTTGTTCCCCCAGTGACGGGCTCTTTCTGTCTCTTTGGCACTGCTGACTTCGTTTAGCTACCTACTGTCGCACATCCCTTTTTTCCGGATGAGAAATGTTTCTTTTCAGTGTAGCCATCTGACTGACACTGTTGTTTAAAGCACCTTTCTCTTTTTTTTTTTTGCAGTGATAATCCCTCGAATCGAGAACACTCTGCAATACATTGTCACAGAATTGGATGAAATGGAACGTGAAGAATTCTTCAGGTAATCATATTATGTAATTTGTGCTCACAGGACTCCCTAGATTTCATACAGTCCATCACCTTGATTCTCATCGCTGCAGGATGAAGAAAATACAGGCGAAAAAGAAGAAGGATCGCGCAGAAACAGAAAATTTACTGGCCGAAGACAGACTAAAAGCTGAAGAAGCGGATTTGCTGGCAGCAAAATTACCAAGAAGCATTTTAGAAAACGATGACGATGTTCCCATTTTATTCACTTAGCTGTGTGAAACATTCTCCATGCTGAGTTCTCATGCGCCTAACCTCGAGGAATACTGGACGAAAAAAGGTTTGTGTGAACAGAAGAAACCGGAAAGAGTGTTGAGGCGTAAAATGTGCCTGTTAAAAATATCAAAGCTGCGGCCAAGAGCGAATTTCTGAATCCAGTATAACGATAAGTTCGTAAAACTGGTGTTCTTCGTGATTCTAGGTTTTTCTGCACGGTGTCCAGATGCTGTGTAACAGTCTTTACTAAATTTTCGGACTGTAGCTTTTAGCTGAAAAATGTCAGAAGTGAATAAAAAATATTACGAATTATTTTGTGGGCAGGGCAAAGAGTCATTCCAGAGTAACCAGCTAATGCACTGTGCATGAGCACAAGAATGTATAGAAATTAAATGGAGCCCGACACTTCTTACTTTTGGAAAAGAAAGACCCGCGGAAAAAAAAGACTGAATTTTCTTGAATATTTCGCTTTTATTAGGTCAGATTCCCTTAATACCGTGGTGCTTGCTCCATACTGCCAAACATAAGTTTTTCGTCCAAAATTAGATGTCTCCAGATTTTTTTTAGTCTCTGTAACATTTTTGTTCAGTATCTTTTAGCAAATCAGACTTTCTCATGTTTAATTTAAAACTTTTTTAGTTACGGAAATGTAGTAGCAGTAGTTTTGATAATGCGTTTTT